TCGGAGATCTTTTTAAAGGACCCTTGCAAGCACATCAATAATAATAATAATAATCATAATCCTAACTAATATTATTATTATTATTTTTATTATTAAAGACCAGATTCCGGCAACTAGAATTGCTCACTGGTCGAAATTCACTGCAAACCTTTCAGAAGTACTGTTCAAATTTGTTAGGAAAAATCTCATCTAACAGCTCCCTGTAAATGCAAATTTGTTTGGATAAGGTAAATCATCAACGAACGGCTGACTGTCCACTGTGTAAAGCGCGGCAAACAAACAAACATGATTTGTCTAACTGCAGTTTGGTGGCAGCACTGAAAAGATTCACAACGCGTCACAACAAAATTTTAAACATAATTATAGAAAGGTTGAAGGCATGCACGGGTCTAGAGGTTTCGATATATGCCGATGTGGATTATGATGAGATCCCTCCAGTGTCTTGCCTCTTCAAATCCCTACGTCCTGACATCGCAATACTTCGTGACGACATAATAGAAATATTGGAGCTGAAGGTGTGCATTAATCTAATCAACTCAACTCAAAAGAATATAAAGCCACCAAATACTCAGAAAATCTCAAAAATAATTTGCATGACAACTCAATACACCTGAAAATAATAGTTAATACTTTTGAAATTTCAACATTAGGTTTTTTCAATTTTTTAAATTTATTACTTATCAATAATATTTGGTCAGATCAATATATAATAATCTTATTAACTCTGTTATACCGTCATCTTATGCCATCTATTGTGAACGCAATAACATTTGAACTGTTAGTTTAAAACTAACTATATCTCATTGTACTCGTTTATTTCAAATGATGAGCATCGTAGAATACTATTGGATTCATTTTAATTTAAATCAATTTATTTATTTTATTTTATTAGATTTTAATTAGACTCTTATCTCATTTTATTATATCTCATGTTCTTCTGGAAATAAAAGTTATAGTAAGTTGTTATTCAAATTTTCATTCTCATTTATTTACATTCTTTACAGTGTTCATTTTCATATATATTCTTCAAACAAGAAAAAATTAGCAAAGAAAAGTTTTTAATTAAATGTATTGATTCAACGTACAACAATCAGGTTATTCAGAGACGCATGGACGGATCTGAAAATTTCTATAGGAACTGGAGTGACTACCAACATGGATTTGGTGATACGTGCGGAGAATTCTGGATAGGTAGTTAGTTGTTCGAAGAAAAAATTGCATTTCTTGAACCAAATAATAACGATGGAAAAAATAATATTTCCAGGAAATGATAATTTATATCGCCTAACATCGACCAGCAAGTACCAACTCTTGATCGTGTTGGAAGATTTCGACGGAAATCTTGCATGTGCTGTTTATGACTCATTCAGTGTCGGTCCACCAAGTTCTGACTACACTTTAAAAATTGGAAACTATAGAGGAACGGCAGGTCTATTAAAATTATTTTTGCTTATCAAAAATTCTGCAAAATTAATTTTTATAAAACTTATTCAAACATTTCCTTGAAATGGAACAGGCGACTCATTGAAATATCACAACAATATGGTGTTCTCCACATACGACCACGACTTTAAAAGAGTGACATGTCCAGCACTATACAAAGGAGCTTGGTGGTACAATAGTTGCCATGAATCCAACCTCAACGGCAGGTACCTGCATGGTAATCACACCACGTATGCTGATGGAGTCAATTGGTTGGCTTTTCGTGGTCACCACTACTCACTGAAGTTCACTGAGATGAGAGCTGAAATGATTTGACTTTTCTTCTACGTATAAAATTTGATAAAATTTGCATTGAACTTCTTTACGTTTGTTTATTTAATTTAGTAAAGTTTTTATTTCTGTTTTTGTCGAATCCTATTTTCAGCGAGGCCGGCAGTACGTGCCAGTTCAAAAAAGAAAACTGCCGACTGGGTAGACTTCTTCCATTCTTTCTTCTAACAACACATGTTTTCATGTTCCTGTCTCATTTTTCAACACCATCAACTATTTTTTTTCGACGTTGATCCAGATTTTATTTAGTATTCAAAAAAATTTTTCGCTAATTTTGGAATGGTCTAGGAAACTTCAAAAAATGGTCGTATTAACGATTAAAATGTAGGTGTAGAAGATGACCTTGGTGCAGATTTTTGAATATTTAATAATATTTTTTGTTTCATGGGTTTTTTCAACTTTTTCTGCTGTTTTTCTGGGTTTTCTTCATCATGCGGTTTTCCAAATTCATCAATTCATTCCATTTTTAAAGTTTTTTGGTAGCATTCCTCAATAATACAAGTATTTAAAAAAAACTTTATAATTAATCCATTCTTCGTCATCCATCTCCTCCCTTTTTTTTCTTGGGGATGGTGTTTCAGTTGGTTTGGTCGGTGCCTTGTCCATGACAGCTCTACTTTTTTGCTGTTGTAGTGCTGTCATCTGTTGTTGTTTTTCTGGCCGTGCCGCAGGCTACCTGAATGATTTTGTACATGTATTCCATTTATATCTCTTCATTTCTACATTCCGGCTAAAATTTCTGCTAAGTAAAGACAGTGCTTTTAAAAACTGTAAAACATGTCAAAACATGAGTGAAGTGACGCAACTAAAAGTCGATTTTACATTGATAGAAAAAATAATTTCATTAGATTGAAATTTGATTTAAAATTACAAATAACACAAGAACATATCAAATTATTTTAAGCTTTCAATGAAATTTAGACCCTATTTCTTCGTTGAAACGTTGTGAAAATATCACGATTTGAACGTCGCATATTTTTGTTGCTCTTACTTTTGTTCATGACTCAGTTCAAAAAAAGTAAACTGATTTGAAATTACTTTTTGATAATAGTAACTTTAATTTTAAAATTATTGATAATATAATGATTTTTTAATTATAAGAAAAAAAATCAAAAGACGAATACAGCTGAAAAATAAATCACAGTACGAAATGTTATCAACTATTTTTGTTTTAATATTTACAAATAAAGTAAATCATGAGTTTAATATTTTTTATATTTTTAATGAAAAACAGATCAAACTATTTAATTTTTCATCATCAAATCTCATTTTTTTAGCAATTTGCGTGTCTTTCTCTATTTTTTCAATCTCTATTCTCATTAATTCAGCATTATCCATTTTTCTTTTTTTCGACGTTGACCCAGTTTGGTTGCCAACAACATTTTCCCCTGATTGCGAAATAGTCGAGAAAACTTCATTTGATTTTCTTATTTTTAACGAGCGTCTTCTTAACATTTTCTTCCATCTTTGAACTTTTTTGAAGGCATTTCTCACCAGAACACATACTCTTAATGGGATTCTTTGGCTTGATTTTCCCATTGACAAATATTTCTTTTTTGTTGTGTTCATTAGTCTGGTAAAGTTGTAATTAGTGTTTGATTTGAAATAATTTAAATTATACACAACTAAATTGTTGTTGTCGTTGTTGTTTGCTCTATAATTTTCGGGAATGCTGCAATTGTTGGAAATATTTCTGTTGTCACCACTATTGTAGTCCATTTTGCTGTGTTTAAATTCCGACTATAGGTTTTATAACTAAAGAATTTCAAATTGACTTAATTTAGTTATAAACAGTAGTGACAATTGTCGAAATGATAATAGAAGGATATAAATAATATCAAATTGAAATTTGTATTTCAACTTTTTTATAATTTGTATGGTATGATATATTAATCAATTAATTTCGAACTACTGATCCGAAATTATTCTATACTTATATATGGTCCCTGCAGTAACAGTAAACTACTTTTCTTTGTTGGAGGGACCTTGAACAACTTCATGACATTTTACGAGCCACGTTTAATTAAAATTTCAAACTTATGCATTATAAAGATGTACAATAAATATTCGAGTTGAACAACAGAAAAAAAAGATTTTACGAGAAATATTACAACATATCCAAAATCTTTTACAACGTTTCTAAAATATTTTACAACCTTTGTTTAACACTGAACTCAGAGTTTGTTATTTGGTTAATAAGACAAATAAAATATGTTCAATTAAAAATGTTTTGGAAATGTTGTAAAATATCTCGTAAATCCATTAATTTTTGAAATATTGTCTAACTAGCACCAATCGTAATCCTATGTTTCGTGTCAATATCATTCAATAAAATAATTTGTTTTACCAATTTTTATATACCTAACGGTATTATTTATTTTATTCTTTTAAGCAACGGATATTATATGAATATCACAAAGCCTACTACGCTCATGAGCAAGGGCGGATATAGACAACTTCAAGAGGGACCGCCAAAATTTTAAAAAGGTTTAAATATTGAAATTAGACGGGTAGGAAATTCGTATAAGTGTTGCTGAAATCAAGCTGGTCGACTATTTCATGCTTATCACGTCAATTTTTCATTACCATTTCCAAATTATACGTTTAATTTTGTAAAAACTATCAGGTTTATTTACTATATCAGCGCCACAAAAAATCGAATGGAATAGAAATCACTGAAAAATATTAGCAAATAGCAAACAGGTCACGAACAAAAGAGATCTGTGTCTTGAACTTCGCATGCAATCGTCTGGTATTAAAAACATTTCCGCTCATACGATAGCAGATTGGCATCTCTTCACTGCCATGACAAAAAGTAACACGGTGTGTTAATGAAAGGTAGATGTTGAACAGGAATGGAGCCGTAACACATCCTTGCTTGGTTCCGTTTGCAACATAAAAATCCTGAGACTGTTCACCATTTTCAGTCACACTCGCTTTTATACTTTTATGGAAGGAACAAACAGTGGTAACAAAATCTTGAGGGTAACCAACTTTTGACAACATACATACATACATAAATGTGTGTTCGCAGAAGAAATGGAATGAACCATCTTTAAATGTTTCAAATCAAAACTGGATGGAGAGGGAGAGCCCTCAGATAAAGCCAGGTTGATGGCCGTTAGAAGTGAATTGGGGTCTGCTTGGCTAAGGGCCATTCCCAGTACAGCTTGTGTACTGGGAATGGCCTACACCCTGGTACCGTGGTCCCAAGGCTGCTGTTTATCATGGGATGTGACGTTCTGACGTTCCCTCACACGTTAGCCGAAAGGTACATCAATTACACGGCTCTGGAGCAAGGTTCCGCTGCGGTGAAGGCTACTGATTTCAAGAATACTAAGTACAAAGATCTAAACGGCAATACGAGAGTTTTCGTTCCGATCTGTGTGGAAACATTTGGCCCAGTTGATAAGCAAACACAATTATTTTTTGATAACATATGTACTAAAATAGTTGAAAAATCCGATGATCCCAATGATAAAGTTTATATAAAGTAAAATATATCGTTGTTGTTGCAAAAGTTTAATTCATTTTGTATTTTAGAGAACATTGCTAAGTGCCCTTCTGTGCGAAACCCTTTACACTAATATTATCTGTTGAGCAGGGGCGAAATAATAGTTTTTATGGCTATTGTTTTTAACCAAGGGCTCGCACATACATACATACATACATACATACATACATATATACATACATACATACATACATACATGCATACATAGTTACCTGACTGTGCGAGACCAGGGACATAGATAAAAGTTGAACTCGGAAACGATTGCATGCCTAACCATGGCATGTTCATCAAAACGGGTTCATACATACATACACACATACATACTTACATACATACATACATACCCCAACACCCTTAAATTTCTTATGGCAATATGTAAAATGATCAGCGTCAGATCAGGCGACAACAGGGAACTGTTTTTCGCAACTAACCACATTTCGTGCTTGTTGCAGCGGTTCCTGCGTGTCTGTGTGCTTGAAAATATCCAACTGAATGCCGACATGTGCAATTAACGACAAATCAAAGTGTTAATCCATTTGTTACTTGATGTTTGAAGGTTAAGTGTAACTCATCATGTTTTGGTTTTAACATACATACATACATACATACATACATACATACATACATACATACATACATACATACATACATACATACATACATACATACATACATACATACATACATACATCACCTCTGTGGGCACCAGGCTTGACGACGAGTCTGTGAGATTTGCCATTGGCATCAGACTTGGCCTGGTCATTCAAAATTAATACACGTGCCGATGTGGCGCTGGGGCGGACGAGTTTGGGCACCACGGTTTGGTTTGTCGCCTGGGTGGGGGCCGTCAACTACGTCACTCAGCGCTAAACGAATACATTTGTCGGCTCTTCTTCAAGGCTTCAATCCCGGTTCTCAAGGAACCATCCGGCATTTCTGCGCATGATGGTAGGCACCCGGACGGATGCACACTAATACCTTGGAGAGCCGGCAGATGTTTGGCGTGGGATGTTACGGTCCCTGGCACCCTCGCCGAACGATACGTAAACCCGACAAGTAAAGAATGCGGTTTGGCCGCGGCCAGGGCAGCGGACGAGAAAATGAAAAAATATGGGAACGCCCTCCCCTCGATGGAATTCTTGCCAATATGTATCGAGGTTCTCGGCCCGATGGACCCCAACACCCTTAAATTTCTTAAGGCAATATGTAAAATGATCAGCGTCAGATCAGGCGACAGCAGGGAACTGTTTTTTGCAACTAACCACATTTCGTGCTTGTTGTTAAAGTGTTAATCCATTTGTTACTTGATATTTGACGGTTCAGTGTCACTCATCATGTTTTGGTTTTAACATACATACATACATACATACATACATACATACATACATACATACATACATACATACATACATACATACATACATACATACATACATACATACATACATACATACATACATACATACATACATACATACATACATACATACATACATACATACATACTACATACATACATACACACATACATACATTAGGGTGTCCCGTCGATGTATGAAAAGAAATTTTTTTTAAGACACATTATAACAAGAGGTATCAAAAGTTGCGAAATTTTATGCAGATTTCAAAAATAATAAAACTATAAAAATTATATGTCTTCTTGAGGGTTCTACCACGCTTTAAAGTTTTGAAAATTTAATGTTTTCAATTACTTGAATCGTTTGCATAAAAAAACAAAAAAACTCGCATTTATAATAGATCTTTTAATACTATTTATAAAATAAAACACATTTAAACAAGATTAAACAACAGACGGTTTATATTCAACTATTAAATATATTTAAAATTTCAATTTATTTTTATGTCCGAAAATTGGAAATTCAGCTCGACTTTGTAACGTGGTTCTTACGAAACCATCTTTCGAATTAACATTAGTCACACTCTGTGATGCTTCTGTTATCAGTTTAACACATCTCTCTACTGATTGTGTGTGGCAAGGAAAATCAACAATTTTAAGGCTTCCATCTTTTGCCATCTTTTTGAGTTCGTCATTAGTAACATCCCGAAGCACAGGTGGTACTGTAACTTGACACTCCTGCCACGAAATAATTTCAGTATAATCTTTAGCAGAGAAGTTAAGCTTCGGTGTTTTAAATATTCTCTGTTTGAAACCATTGTCAGTATTTCTAGCTTTTATTATTCTTCGACATGCTAGTTCCCGAATATAGTCTCTGTCGTCAAATAACATACTAACAAGAAGGTTTTCTGGATGTGCATAAAAAGCATTTCTCTCAATTACAGAATCTACAATTGTTCTTAGATTTGTTGGTAAATATCGAGAGAATAAAATTAAATTAAAAATATGCTTAGCTCCATCTTTAAAAGATGTTTTTTGTTTAATTGAAAACCAAATAGGAGCATATACTTTAACTACATATTCGACAAGTATTTGCAAACTTTCTGATGGATCAGGAGTACTTACATATAGTCTAAGTAAACGGTTGGCACAAGTAAGCCATCTTGAATGAGATAGATTTCCAGGTTGACGGTTTGCGAGCTCAGGACTACAGCAACCAGTTAATACTGCTTGACATATTTCATTGAGATATTTTTGATCTGTACTCAGTTCATTAACTACATTTTTCGTTAAATCAGGCAAATTACCGGTCAGTGGTTGAAAAAGCAACGTAGTTTTATTTTCGCAAGTAGCTAATTGTTTTCCAATAGGCCCTGAATATTCTCTAGGACCTGAAGAGCAGCCATCTAAAGCCAAGAATAAATGACGAAAAGGTAGTTCGTTAGCATGAAGCATACAAACACACCATTGTAAAGGTCTATCCAAATACTCTTCAAGGTATTTAATTACACCACCTTTCCACCCGGTATTTGTTGCAGTTCCATCACATCCAACGCAAATTACGTCATTTAAATTGTAATTTCGATTTTTTAATAAAGTTATGATTGAAGTAAAGATTTCTTTTGCGGTTCCACGACATGGCGATGTGTGTCCCAAAAAAATAGAATTAGGTTCTGATAAAATTGAAATATGTTCTTCTAAAACCACTTTGCGATGGTAACGGACTCCTATTTTTTTATTCACCAACGTTTTGTCTTTTCGACCATCAAAATAAATGCTGTTTAATGAAAGTTCGCTAATATTTTGAAATATATTTTTTCTGGCCTTTGATACAGCTCTGTGTACTTTATTTTTGTCTATTACTAGAGTTGAGTCTTCATTTGAATCAAGACTTACGTCAACTAAAACGGCAGAAGCAACAGCAGCAGCAGATCGTGTAGACAATCGATATCTATCACAAACTTTTGCCAATGTTGGTAACTGCAGTAAATTTCGATTAGCGAATGTTGTTGTTGGTGTAATTGTAAATGACAGGTTTGTCAGAAGTGTTTCTGTTGCTAGGTTGGTTTTGGGAAAATTGATATGCGTCTCGTCTTCATCCAAAGCTGTTGAAACAATATTAGAACTTTGTGTTGAGCAAAACTTTTTGACTCCTTTCATTGAACGTTCAAATTGTCTTGCCTGTCGTTTCCTCAATCTGACCGTTTCTTGTTTATCGATGCCACCTATAGCCATTTTTCTCTCATTTCTTTGATCGATCAAAAATTGTCTTTCGTTAACAGGAACTTTTTTATTTTTCAAACATACACATGCTTCAAATAAGACACATTTACATGAAGCCACATCAAAAAGCCTCTTTGATAAATCTGAAAAACATTTCAGTTTTTTCTCAAAACTATCATGTCTTTTGCTCTTGGGATATCTTTTCAAAGTGAGATATTTTTCAAAATTAGATTTTAAGAGTTGTAAAGCTCGATCATTAGATACGATTGGAATGGAAGCTTTTATCCAGATATTTTGAATTTTTTTAGATACAACTGAATAAATGTTTAAAATGGATGGATCTTTGCCATTACATTTTAGTTTCAGGTCATTCCTAACAAATAAAATAAATTTAATGACTTCCCCTATGGTCGGTAC